TAGACGCCCGAGGGGGCCGTGAGGGGCGGCCGGGAGCGGAGGGTGGGGGCCAGAGCGGCCGGTGGCCTCGGCGGTGGCGGGGAGGGGTCTGCCAGGGGGGCGGCCGCCGCCTCCCCCGCCCCGGGGCGGAGCGGAGCGCCCCTCCGCGCCCCTCCGCCACCTTGGCTCGGCCGGGACCGACCTGGGTTTGCAGGGCGTCGAGCTAGCCGGGCGGCCCGGTACCGGCGTCCCCTTCATCCCGCCGGGCGCCTTCATCCTTCCCACACGGAAGACCCCGCTGCGCCTTCGCCCGACCCGTCTGCAGATCCCCCGGGAAAAGGGGTTTATGGGGTTATTTCCTGAGGATTTGGCTCAGGGACGCGTGCGGGGCCGGCAGGAGAGGTCCAGGGGCGGGAAGGGGGGCCAGAGGCTGCGGAGTTATTCCTGGCTGGGGAACAGCCCCGCGGGGGCTGCCGCAGCCGGAGAGGAAGGACGCGGCCAAACCCGAACCAGGGCAGCCCAAAGACAATGTATGCAGAAAGCTCAGCAAGTCCCCAGCAGACCAGCGATGGCACAAGGCCATCTTTGGCCCCTTTCCTTCATGCGTGAGCCAAGCAGAGCTCATGAGGAGCAGAAAATGTAGGCCACTGGATAGATTCCTAGTTGAAGGAAAAAATAAGAAGGAAAATCTTGAAGCAGATAGAAAGTGATACAAATACACAGTCATCCCATCTTCCCCTGACAATGTGGAGTGGTTCAGCGTAAGTGAATTTGAAATGAAAAGAGGATGCGAAGAGACTGAAGATCCATGACTTATGGTCACCTGGTGATCTCTCCTACTTTCTCTGGAGTTGCAGCCTTCATAACCAAGGGCCTCCCCAAAGGAGGGTGGAAGGAGCAGCTGGTCGGAGTCTCCAGTCAGTGGCCAGCAGCTGGAACAGCAGTACCAAGAGCCAAAGCATTGTCTTTTGCATGTTGAAAGACCTTTCTAGAATTGTGGCTAGCTTCTGTCTGCTTTGTCCTGGCTGCTGGTTTCGGCCCTCTTCCTACCTCCCTCTCAAAGCACCTTCAACTCCGTGCAGCTCCTCACTAGCACTTTCACATCCCCTTTCCATTTCAACTCACCTGTCCTTTTTCTTCCCTCCTTCTTTGGGGTGGATGATCTGCCCAGAGATGATTGCTGCCACCCTCTGGTTTTGATTTCTATGCTTCCCTTTAGTACGTTTTTGCCATGTTTATGTACATTCCAGGTACCACCGTCACTAGTAGGTGATACCTGGACTGCACAAACACTGTTTCTACAGTGTTCCTTAAAGCCCTGGTTTTGTTAGGCTTATTCCCAACTGTACCATATGGGGTTACTACTATACAGATTTTGGTGATCTAGAGCACTGAAAATGTGAAGATGCCCTACCAATGGATAGAACATCTTATTCATATATTATTTTCTGTCATGAACTGTCTTCTGTTGGCCAACTGATAGGGTTCAGGATTTGCCTGCATAATTCCTGTTTGTTGTAGAGAAGCGTTTTCCTTAAGTTCTCTTTTAAGTGAAAACTTTGGAGTTTTATTTTTCATTCTGACACCATTTATCCATTTATTCCACAGTTTGAGGATTCTTGCTTCATCTTTTCAGTCTTCTTTTTTTTTTTTTTTTCCAAATTAAAAGAGCTGGTATTTTCCTGCAATCTTCTGGGGTGGGACGGACAATGTCTTCTCAGACATTGTTCTCCCATTGATGTGAAGGTATCCTCTCACTTGAGGTGCCTGTCTCCCTGCACTGGAGACAGTTGGTTTTGCAGCTAGCTCCTCTCACTGCCTGTTTGGGCTTTGTCCTGGGAATCCACACTTCTAAACGAGTGACTCTGGGGTTTACAGGGCCACCTCTGTCCCTGCCTTACAATCAGTTCATGTTTGCTAGGCAGCTGGCTCTTGGGCATTTGGCAGAAGAGGATGAATTAGAGCTGTTTCATCTCCACATTGGAAAAGAAGTATCCGTATTCCCCATATACCCTTCTTCTGCTTTCCCTGCCATGGATTCTTGAAGAGGAAATTATCACTGTGCACTGCAGAGACCATGCTGGTAGCCAGAATGTGGAGGAGCCTGACAAGGAGTCATGCAGCAGAGGCAGCCCCAAGGATTTCATAGCACTGTAATTCGGTAGCCACATTGCCCCAGCAGTCTCTGGTCGCTCATTCTGGTTTCTTACCATAACTATTTTTTCAATTTCTCAGATTGGGCTATCCTGTTCTCTATGGACACCACTTACAAAACTGCACAAAAGCTTTTGTGTTTTTTGCTCCATGACAATCAGTTGACAGTGACATGAGGACCTGTTTTGAAAATGAAGTGTTTCTTGGCATTGTACAATGGAATATCTTTTCCTAAGTCAACCTTTTATTCTGTTACTTGTGTATAGTTGATAATGGAAACACAATTTCTGCTTGACAAGTGATATAAGTTTTAGTGCATGTATTGCCATTTCATCACAAGGAAAATTACACATCAGAAGATAAACCATGTTATTTCACAGAGATTGTGTTAAATATTGTGTCAGATATTTAAATTATCCTACCTCATTTGAATTCCAATAGGTATACGATGACTGCTCTTGTGCTTTCATGCAGCAGACCTACACTCTGTGACTTGCGTGTATTTGTTGTTAATCAAGCTGGTCCATGAGCAGTGGATCTAATAAGGTCTGGTGTCTGACTAATTTGTTTTGTGTTTTCCATTATCACCGTATTATTCCCAGGCCTGTCCTGAGTTGGCATTTCTCACCTTGGTCTCTGCTTCACAGCCATGTTCTTCCCACTTGGTGGGACCCATGTGCTGCGGGTGGCTTGAGGGACTCAGCAGGTGACTGCTGAGTGGAGCTGAGGGTGGCTTGAGGGACTCAGCAGGTGACTGCAGCTGCTGAGTGGAGCTGGGTTAAAATTGGCCCCTAATAAGGGGCTGCACTGAATTACTTTTGCTCCAAGGGGCCACTGAATTTCTCTCCACTGCTCATTTTCATGAAACTTGGGAATTGAACAGGAGTTTAATTTCTTTGAGACTCTTGGTCTCAAAGAATTTGGTTGAAATTGGCCAACATGCAAAACTATCAGGATAGTGGGAAATGCTGAATGGCCAGTCGTGCGTGATCGCGGGAACCTTACTTCCTCAAGAAACAAGGCTACAAAGATTTTTGTTGGGTTTCTTGCAGTGAGAATATACAGTGAACAACTTAAAGGTTCTTGTAACAAGACATTGAAAGTGTGGGTAGAAGTACTCATTGCTCACAGAATTGATTCTGCTTGCAGAATATCACATTTCCCATTTGGAGAGGTGGGCTAATTTTGGTAAGGGTTTCAGCTTAGATAAGGACATAGCAGCTGTTATGAAGTCTCTGAAGAGAGTTTTACATTTTTCAGTGTCTCTAGGTAGACTTACTTGCGATGGGTGAATCGCCATTCAGCTGTTGACAAATGCCAGGGTTTTCTGCTGAGCAGGAGGTTTGAAATTCTGAGTTTTGTCTCAACTGGAAAAAATCTAACTTCAAAATAGGCGTTACCTTGACCCTATCCTGAGCTTTTTCCCATAGGCATTGTTATTCCTAGTGTTCCTTCCCTTGGCTTGAACCTGCTCAAAGTAGCAGGATGGTGGAGCTCTTTTCTGCAGACAAGTCTGTCACAATCCAGTTTCTTCGTCCAGCAGATTGTGTCCAATTGTTTATGTTCAAGGTGATTTCTAATGAACCACGAGCACTCTTATGTGCTTAGAGAGCAGTAGTTAATCTGCAGTTCTCTGCATGGTTCTGACACTGGCTAACAGAGCAAGGAAGCAAAAATTCCCACTGTGCACTCCACTGTTAATACTAAAACAAAATAGTTATTTTTGTCTTACTAATTAGTCTGTCAGTACAACACGCATTGTCAGTTCTAAATTTCCTTAAGTGCATCTTTTCTACAACAGATGTCAGTGTGAGATCCAAGATTTTAATTGTAAGATTTTTGTCAGAGTCAGAATTTGGAGGCATTTCAAAGTCCAGGAACAAAAATCAATATCTCAAATCAAGTAGTGTTTTCCCCTGATCCATAATGTTTTACTCGCATTTTCTTCTCTGTACATTTTGCTATCGCCTTCGTGCTAGCTCATCTCAATAACTGTGATGGAAATGTTAGACTTCTATTAATGAGTCATGCTTCTACTTGCCAGGGCAGGGACCTCACCCTGCTGACCTCGTCCCGCAGCACCTGCAGGCGATGAAGAGAGCTGGGGACAGTGACTGGGCCCTTTGCAGCCCTGGGACCAGGCACAGCTGCAGGCACTGAGTAATAACACATGTTGTTGGAATTTCAGGCTATAAGACTAAGTCTGATAAGAAAATGTCCTGGGGTCTTAAACACAACTAATGATGATACTGATAGTAATGGTTTTATGTCCTTGAGGAAAGATAGCACCTCCAGAAACAAGTTACCCTTTAACGATACGCTAGGAAGTTGGATGCATGCTAATGTGGATGGAAGATTTCCAAGTCCCGAATCATCAAAACTAGTGCAGTGTTTGACCTTTTTTAAAATTTCCATCATGCGTATTGACTGGGTCAGCATTTCTTAGCTTGACATATTTGGAGCATTCATGGTGCCAGGTGATGTGCTCTGTGTTACAAAATACATACACGCACATGGTCACACATAGAAATACAGTATTGCCCAGAAACAAAACCTCTTCCAGGTGGTTTGTTGGGTGGTTAGTGGGGGGTTTTTTGGTCAAAATAACCAAACCGTAAGACAAGGCTGGATTTGCAAAAATGAAAACTTTAACACGGGACTTTTTCTGTGAACTTTTAATCCCAGCTATTTTCAGCATAACCTATGGAGTAAAGTAGCATAGGTTAGGGAACATGGGGTCAT